CGTGTTTAGGGATTGGACATGTTGGGGGGGTACCCCTCGGTCTCATTTCTTGCTGGGTATAGTCCAAATGCAAGTGGTTAGCGTGTTACCTTTTGGAATGGACCATTCAAACTTGTCAACTCGTTCTGAGCGTTAAACTCATGAGTATCCGTTACTTTTTTTAATGCACATGATGCCTGCACTACAGGTGCGACATTACTGTGTGTACGTCAGGGCATGTCCCTTTTTGTTTTGGGGTGGTCTTTGTTGCGGGGAAGCGGGGTTCGAGGATTATTTGTTCGTGTAATGGGGAGCGGTTACTAGCCACATGTAGTTGTCGCTGTTGGTGAAGCCTTTTAATTTATTTGCTTTGTCGGCAATGTGTTTTAGGTATTTGTCTCCCGTACATGTTTCAAATTGTTTAGTTTCTGCCATCGACGTCCGTGTGGCGACCAAGTTTACGACGACCGAGGTCACCACGCTTTCGCAGAACTCGACCGTGAATCTGATCGGTTTCCTCTGCGGCCAAGCGAAGGGGAACACTGTGAATGTCACAGTCGTGTTGAACAATAACCCTTACTGGCGTCTCAACCAGGGTGTCCTTTATTACTACGTTGTGGACTCGCCCAGCAAGGTAAGAAGCTAGAAACGTGCGCAGCGAATGTCTATGGTGCACTATATACTTCAGACGAATGAGAACTACGAAAAAAAAAATGTAGGCATGAAACATTTCCAGAGAAATTCGCTAATTAGGTTGATATTCTCCCAATTTTTATGAATTGGCAGGGTGAATATTTAATTTAAGTTCGCAAAATCGCGTCTGTGCTCGTTGGCAAGGCACCAACTATAGAGTCAGCTGACAGCCATCTATACCAATCCAAACCGTTTTCGTTTTCCTCTGATCAGGCGTTTCTGAACAAATAATCCAGACGTTCTTTCAGAGTTGGGCTCAGATTTACTCAATGAATCTTGTATATATCGCCATATTGTTACTGACCAGCATAGCTAAGTCGTACTGGATTGTCAGACAACTTGACCAGGCAAACGTGTCCCTGGACCTTTAGAAATCCCCAGAGATCCCTTGCCGACGATGTATATCCAAAGTTGAATAAATGCATGCTCTTCAGTCGCTTCCCTAGTACGAGTGCGGAGAGATCAATCCTCAGTATTAAAGACGAGAAGACCGGGATGGAGCTGGGAAAGGTGACTACCAGAGCCAAGCAAAGGGTGAAATAATTCAGAAATAGTTTCAATTGTAAATTACAAACAAGGTTTTCCTGTTTTACACATGCATCTTGCGCAATGTTTTGTATGAGTGCCTGCTTGTTTCAAGCGGATCAGTGACCCGACATTGGTTCACAGACACAACACCTGCCTGGTGGACAGGGTGAACCAGCTTTGGAATCAGTGATCGAAATCCAAAATCGAGATCCTTGTGACACAGGCGGGCCCTTTGTGAGAGCGTGAGATCTACGTAAAATCAGTCTTGACATGACTTAGCTCCTCTGCTTTGCAGGGCGAGGCAGACGCCCTCTGCACGAACATGAACCAGGGCGCGCCGTGGGCGTACTGCACAGTGAAGTCCTGGCCGTCCTTGGGGGACTTGTACATCAAAGGGCGCTCGGGGCCCGTTGAGGCGGTGAGTTTCAGCTTGGATGCGGAGAGAACGCAGCAGAGTGAGGTGAGCTTTAGCGCTGACGCAGTGAAAATTGACAAGGTGAGAATCCTGAGACGAACTTCCTCTTGCTTCCCAGTAAGCGATGCAGTAAGCTCGGCACTGCCTTCCCCAAGGAGGCCCTCACTCTTACGCCGTGCGTAGACCAGCCACAGGGGGTCAGACAAAGCTCTAACATTGATCCATGTACGCTTGGTACGGGGTATCATTAATTTTGCGTATCCAGAATTTCGGCCTGGAGAAAAATCCTAAATATAATTGTCGGTTTTTGTTTATCCATAAAAGAATCACTTCCCCCAATTAAAAAAAAAGTGGAAAGCACACTTTGTACTACTGTTTCGGGGTCTCCAACAAATTCTTCATCCGAATGCTGTCACAATTCGGTCCCCATTGGCCACAAGATTTGATTGGCTTACCTATAAACACATTGGAAGTAAAAAAAAAACAGTGTTACAAGCAATGTCCCTCGTACCGGTAATCGTTTTGCAACTGGACGCCATGTTACTATAATGTACACTTTGTCACGTGTTATTCAATAACTGGTGTTTGCTCCACTACAATGAATCATTCATATTTTTGGAAAGTTTTTAATTGTATGTGTAATTGGCCTAAGATAGGTCGTTAATATTCATACACAGGAAACCAAATAGCCTGAACCCCCCCACACACACACACATTTTCTAAAACTGGGCGAAAAAAGAAAGATATTAAACCTAGAAGTGATGCGTGTATCATGTATACGTGATGTGCTGTTCTATATGCACTGAATACACGTGCCGTACATGTACGTTGTGTCTGTATGCATAGCTTGCTTGTGCTGGTATGTCGTAGTACTTACACCACGCAGGAGTTGGTGCATTGTGGTAGTACACGGTGGCCCGTTTGCCGGCGGTCCCTGTGCGTGAAGCCCCTCGACCAAAAAAGCAGTCGTGAAACGAAACATCAATCGAAGAAAGATTTCTTGACAAGGTGTGGACTACGGAAGCACGGGGTCACAACGTCCCCCCCCCCGATTGGTGTTTCAGTGGGAAAAGGAAGTAACTTCCTCTTATTTAAAGTTTGAGTGAAGCAATGCCAATGTGTTTAAGTCAACACAACGACACAACTTTGCCGTTGCGTCATTGAAGGGAATGGACATTGTAAGCCACGCTGTCCATAGTTGCCTCTGGACAAAAAAAAACAAGACCAAACTAACAACAACAGTCGACCAGGAAATGCGTTTTGCTAAAAAAAAAAAAAAACAACCCCCCCCAAAAAAAACCTACATCCCTTATACGGCGATGTCTGAGGCCTAAAGTATGGAAGTATGGCATCTGCAGATGCAGACACTTCTAGGATTTTTAAAAAATTATTACTATCAAGATCATTTTCATTCATAATAAGGCTCACTGTTGAAAAGCAAAGACATTCACCATGATTTTGTGACAGCAGGTGCCTGCATCAGCACAAAAGGCTCCCACGTCAACTGCTGAACCCCTGCCTCGAGTGCCTCCGGGGTATAAGCTAAGGGACGGCAAGACCGTCTACCTGACAGAGTACATCACGCTGACGGCCTCGCAGGTGGTGCCCAGGCTTCAGGAGGCCCACCTCAACTTTACCTTCTGCCCGACCCCGGAGACCGGGTCGCAGTACTCCATCATCGGCACGGTCATCGCCAAAGAAGGGAGAAGTTCCTGGGTTCAGTACATTTGCAACAAGTACCCATGCGAGGTAATCCAATACACGTTGGGCACTGATCACGATCACCCTCTTATACACGTCTTTTTTTTTCATTAACTGGGCATGCATGTGAATACACTCCAAAACCCGTAGTTTCAGTTCAACCTGATAAAATTTCCTATTTACGATCATCTGAAAATGACGTCCCAATGAGCGCCAGTTCTCTGGCATGGCAGTGGAATTTGCACATTGATTTTTTTTTTTTTTTTTGGGGGGGGGGGCTGGGATCAATGGAGGCTGCGCAAAAATGGGGAATTAAAAATTTGACAAAAGCAGTTTCAAAAATAATGACTCTCTCTCTCTCTCTCTCTCTCTCTCTCTCTCTCTCTCTCGGTATTTAGCTGAGCCATCCTGAGAACATCATCGCTTATAACGGTAGACAGCTACCCATCAACACCGTGGTTACCGGAGCGGGGCAATGGAAGCAGTTGTACGCCCTCATTATCTGCTGGGGTGGGCCCTTCGATCCCAAGTCCGGTTTGTACATTGGCGATTTCCTTTTCGACGCCGTCGCAAACAAGGTGTAAATTCGCAGCAGTTGCGTCGTCTCAGATGTGTTCTTCATGCCAAATCGTGGTACATATTAAACTGAGGAAAGTGGGTCAGATGCAACCTGTGTTATTTTCTTTACTGCAGTTTTTGGCTGCTTGTAAAATGTTCTGGGTAGAACGAAGTGTCTTCGACTGTCACACTATGTAGTGAGCTAGATCCAGTACACAGTGGTTATAAACGGCCATGTTCTCAAAAGAATCTTGCACTTGTGACAAGGTTATAAGGGTTTTAGGTGCATGTCTAAAACAATGGCGACGGCGAAGTACCACTTTGAAATATTTTTTCCCGTTGAGTCCCCCCTGGGCTTCCGTATTTCACGGCTTATGACATAAATGATGACGGATTTAACGCTTTGGAAGTTTTTGTCCAACGTTCTACCGTCAGATTTTTTATACCTTTATTTCATCAACTTGGTATTAATCAAGAGCCTGTGGGTATAGACCAAGGCAGTTTTTTTCTATCCCGTATTTTAATAACAAAGTAAAGCTGCGAAGCCGTTCTAAATCTTTGTGCAGCCAAGTCCTCATGTACCCCCATAATATTTTCACTCAAGATAATTAAGTCCCCATTATAAGTCGCGAGTATACTCTAAGTATTCACGTTTTTGGTTGTAAACGGTACTGACAACACGTTGCTGACTGGTTACCTTTGATTGCACATACCTCTTGAGCCGGTGTTCTATTCAGGCAAGTAGTAATGTCAAGGACCTACACAATGCAAGTTTCTACGACAGCCATCACAAATACATCTGTGTGCTTGACCTTACTGACAGTTTCCTATTTTAAAATGTGTTTTGGTGCATTTTCGCTTTTTTGTAGTTATGCGAGTTGCCATATTAATCAGCAAAAATTTACTATCGCTCCGTGTCGAAAACCTAGATGTTGCACTAACACGTGCGCAGAAACTACTGCCATTGTTCATGTCTCGCTGTTCTTCGGGGGGGGGATATCATAATTTGGTCAATACATGGCAGTGAGTATACTGGAAGACTCTTTGACCCAATTTCAGTCAGATTCCCCAGCGTAGTGTATTCATTTGAAAACGTTCAATTAAAAAAAAAACAAACAGACTCTAGTCTATGATTTCATTCCATCCCCTCCCAAAAAAAATCATCTGGTACCATCCCATTAATCAAGGTTTTAAAAATAAATAAAATACGTTCAGGAATACGACTGAAATTGGGTCTTTCGCGAATATGGTTTATCTGCTGTTCCGATAGAAAAACCCATGCACCCATGTCATCAGCAAATGACATCGGAGGAACAGAGCCCCGCAGTTGTCCCAACAAGCGCAGGTTTCAGATAGGCATCTTTCAATGCACCCAACGCCCCGAAGATGTCGCATAGGTTGAGTTCGGACGGCCTGTTCTTTTCATGGGTTTCTAGTTCTCGCGCTCGAACGGCAGGAACGCGACTCAAGAACACTGTTCTCGGAACAGGATCACACACCACCTCTTCGTCAGGATTTTACAGGAACACACGGAAAAACTCGTGAGATTTTGATGTTTGAACAGCTGCAAAAACTAGAGAGATGGCTTCCAAAGCCAGAGACAATGGGAAGTATTGCAAAATTAACATTAATTATTTTCCGTAACACAGAAATGAATTTTCCTATTTATACAGAAAAGAATTCAGCCCATCCAAACATTAACTCTCGAATAACGGCTACATGGACGCCCCATGTTGCATATGTGTTGCTTGTCACTAACTACAGCGATAACCGGTTGTTTGTTCCCGGCGTTCGAGTGGCTGACCCCCGAACAACAAATCGAGCTGTTCGTGAACAGACGGGAACATGCCGCCCGAACTCGGCCATAATGTTCACACGATAAAGAACAGCATCAAGTCCTATAAACTTGTGTCTTAGAGGAATTCATTGCATGGATCTTTTAAATGTGGTTAATTCATGCGTGTTGGACGTCTCTCTCGACACTACTGCCCTAAACGAAGACACTAAGCTGAAGATAATTCTGCGTAGTACAAAACAAAATACTTGTATCAAGCTTTTCTTGAATAAATTGGTTGATTGTTTTACTGCTTAATTAAAACTTGTAAAAGGCCAAAGCTTTGCCAATTGTTAATGTATTACTACATCTGAAATGTATAAGATGTTGCTTCTGTTTAGAACACTTCCAAATTAAAGGAAATAGCGAACAACCAGCCTAATAGCACTGTGTGTTGTTATGTACACCTTTAAAGCAGGACGTGTCCTCGATTTGGAACGGAACTGAAACTAATGTTTTACTAACGTAGGTGTCTTTGTGAATACTTCCTTGAGTGACCTCATCGAAACAGATAAGTTCTAGGCACACTATGGGGATAGCACTGGACTCCAGAATTTCCAATTAAAAAAAGTCTACGCGTATGTTAATCAATAACAGCCTCCCAACATGTCGCAAAACAAGAGAAGAAGTAGTGTTTTTGGCCACACATGACAAATATTTGAATTTCGGATATCTAAATTTGGTTTCGATTCAGTGCTTTTCTGAAATTAAAAAAAAGTAGTCGGCCGTCTTTGGTTGTCCACTCTGTCAGTCTTGTGTTCGTTTTCTTTGTTTGTTAAAGATCCGGCAAAGGTGAATGGTCAGAGCCTGTACATTTTTGACTCGGGAATATTTCTGCGAAAGAAAGGTCTGTTACCTTGGTGATCCGCACGTCGATAGAATAGATGGGGTTCATATACATGTTTTCGTATTATTTATAAATAAAGAAACGCTATATAAAGAAACAGTTTCAAACATCGCTCCTGCTGATAACCGCTACCTTGAGCCACAGTTCATCAGGTGATATGAAACGCAGGGCATTGCTCATGTTGCGTTACTGCGCCGTGTCTAAAGATCGTCTCCTCTCTTACTTCACCCCACAAATCCGGATGGTGGTTTACAAACAGCTTATATTCCCACAGTGAACTGTTTTATGTCTCTCTGTCCGTTTTTCTGGCAATAGAACATTACCGAAAGGTGTGGACGATATTCCGAGCAATTACGTCATGCGTTGAGTTATGAATTGTGGTTTGATTGAAAGACGAATGAATGAGAGTTTGCAGATCAACGCAATGATGTCATCAGATAATGCACTTTTGCAACACTTATTTTATTAAAGTTAATTTGATTGACTAAAAACTAACAGGGAAATCAGTGCTATCAATATCCAAAATGTCGTTAGCGTTTTTTTTCCTTACGATTTGTTATTTTCAGCACTGCATTTGGTCAGTATTTTGCACCGTATGCTTCATGTCCGAGGCAAGCGCTCCAGAGAGCGCCCTCTTGTCACAATCTTGTTGTCGTGTGCATTGTTTAAAAGGGGGCGCTACCGTGAATCTTCATCAACGATAATAGATTGTGTTAGCGTTGCAAAGCGCCATCAGCTCCTGAATAAATACTATTATCGAATGGAGCCACTGAAAACAAAACGCTTTCTGGAATAGTAAGCCTGACGCGTTCTACCAAATATACTCAATTTTAAGCTTTAATCCAGCTGGGGAATATCTTGTCAAAAATGCCGATTTTGCACGGGAACCCATCCACGAAATGTACCCAAAAGTACTAAGCACTGCCCTCTAATCATCACCGATCGAGCTTGGCCCTACCCGTACAAGGCAGTATAAACATAAAATTCACTAAATATTGCAGATTCTTTCCAGGTGTTTTTGTTTCAGTTTGATTTGATGAAGGTGGCGTTTACTGTTTATTTTAATAGGCACAAGTTGCATATCAAAGGAAGTCATTCATTCAGGAATTGTTTTATTAAGTGACATATCGGACAAATGCAGATAAAGTGATGAAAACAAAAGTTCTGCATTGTATGAAAACTGATATAAGAATGTATAAGAGAAAAAATATCTTGTATGTCCTGCAGTCAGAAACATTTTCTGACAAATTTACAAGACTTTCTAGTCTTACGTTTTTTAGCATCCTTACCCTAATAAGCCTTTTCCTTGCTATTCAGAGTGGCATATATACGGTTTTTGACTGGGGGTGAAGTAACTTCCGCGTTTCCCGTCCCCTTTTACCGCCTGATGGCGGGATACTCATCTGTTCGTAATTTTTTTTTAAGCAGGCCGTGGTCGCGGGCCTGTCCGAGGGAGGGGGTTTCCGCTGAGATGTTCCTACAAGTGATCGCTCATCTCCTTGTAGCTCTTCACGAAACGACCATCACTTCGTGACAAGGCTGACAGTATTGATGGCACGCTGGCCTGAGAATGCACGCCAGCAACGTATGCAACCGAACCGCAAAACGCCAGTTTTTCAAACAATACGCCAGGGAGTCTGCTCACACCGCGTTCTGAATAAAATATGCAAACGATTACAATGTAATATTTAGAGACATGGCAAAGCCTGTACGAGTACAAGTTTGGTATGAATAAAATGACGCCTTTGTGTGAGCCAAGGGTTCCTGCTCTGATAGGTACCGGCTGACAGCGCTGGATTAGAGCGCTAGAATATTCCACTTTAGGGTTAAAGGTATTTATTCGTTGTTTTATTCGCCAATTGGAAAGGGTTATCAATTTAGAAGTATTGTTCTTTTTTCCCTTCCTATCTGAAGAGTGTCAAGGACCATAGCGTCTGGCCTCAAGCCTAACGAATGCCACGAAAGGCTATTTCAAGATGTTATCAAATTCTAAGACCCCTCAAAATTGCTCCCTCCCTCAAGACTGTTTTGTTCTTCACCCCCTCCTGCGGTTTCAGTGGAATAGTCCAACTATGGTCTAAATATGTCGCGTCCGGTGGCAGTTTTCGAGGCGAAGCGAATCCCCAACACTGCTCCCAAAATTTGAACCGATTCTGTTCCTCTGGTGATCACAGAATTAGTGGCGCTTTAACTTCACCTTGTATTTTGGAAATAACCAAAGCTCTTCCGGAATATTCATCGATCTCGTGCAATAAAAAGAAAGGGAAATGCAAGAACAAGTCCTACAGGGAATTGATAGGTGCTTCCTTTGCCACGTCACAGTGGTACGTTAAGCCAAAGTCTGGCTGACAAAGTTGGGGTTGAAGGTAGTGTCAAAACAAAAAAGTAACGGAGGTTTTGATAATCTGACGCAGTTGTAAAGGGATCGTGTTCTAAATACCGGAGCACTTTCCACTCCATTCCTCAAGGAATGTGCATGTTTAGGCAAATGAATAAAACTTTAGACAGCCATCAGAAAAAAAAAACTAGATGCTTCTAAACGTGGTCCAAAGCGTTACAGACCTATATTTCCTAGTACACGTCCATTTTCTCATGGAAGTGAGTGGTGCACGATTTATCACAACCAAACGAGCGCACTTTCGTAATTAATTCGTGTTAGGTCTATTTTGACCGCAAAAGAATTTTTTTTTTTAATTCAGATCGCCCTCACAGGGCATTCTAGGGTCAGGGTTGGGCTAAGGGTGGGGCAAAAATATATTTCTTTTTCAATCCCACCAGGAGGAAGTTCAATGTCCAAAATAATGGTGCCTTCAATTCCTCAGGCAAGAAAAAAAGAAAAACCCCCAAAATTAAAAACAAACAAACACCCCAACAAACAAAAGAAATGAAAAACGGACTTCCTCCCACTATGCGTTGTAGGCGTACAGCGGCAGAGCAGCGACCCAAGGTAGTTGCCGCTGTGTCCGAGGTAGACCTGTCACACTACGCGGGTGTTTTAAACCCATTGCCGCAGATTTCTTGTTTGTGACTTTTAAGGGCCAATAACAATCCTTACGCCATACTACTCTGGGTTTTTGTACAGGAGAACGACTTGAATGTCTGGTGCCCACCTTCACGGCAATATTAAAAAGACGAAACTGGAAAGAACTTGTAACCCTCTGTCAGTATGTGTTAAGATTGATTGTCGACGGCGTTGTCCTATGAATTAAATACCGACCCCGGAGGCTGGGAAGCAGGAGTCAGCTGACATGATGGAGAGCATTACAAGGCTACTTAACACCCTGACATCAGCCGTCATATAAGCCGAGGGGGCCGCTCTGGTGACTAGTGAAACCACAGGGCACGGACACGTAAGAAGCAGAAACACCTCTCTCCTCGGGTGATTATTCTTCAATGCGAGAACTTGCCCTGCGGTCTGGTCTGATATCGCCGTGTGTCCAGAGGGTTGCCCATTTCAGCACCAGACTGCCCCGGGATACGGCGGGCCCGGACGCGGACCGAAATCGACACCCGTGACGGTGCCTTTGATGCTCAGACACTTTGGCTGAGTTCTCTCCGGTCAGCCTTGCGACCCTGATCGGCCTCACTGACACCGTATCCACCCGTCCTTCCGGATGGATCGCCGGGCGAGCTTTGCCGCTGCAGCTGTGGCCATGCTTATGTGTCTCGCCATCGGTGAGTGCATTGCTGAAGTATCACACATTTTAATATGTGTCTAACGTTAATGGGGTGTTGCTGTTGACAATGACTGTAGGCCCACTTGGATCATTTTCATTTGCTCTGTTGAAGACCGGTGCTAATGTTTCAGGCAACTAAAATTTGAAGTGCCATTCTCAATGCATTATACCAACAGTTGTACTGTTCACAAGGTAAATTTGCTTGAAGAAAACTCGCTAATCACACACTGTTGTAAAATAACCATTCTCCAATGGATTGGCGTCTCAGACGAAAGCAAAAGATATTAAATGCACGGTAAAAACAAAAGTGTTAATATTTTTATGCCTTTTAAACGCCTTACCTTATGAACGTGTTCTGGTTTTAATAGTCAGAAGCTGAACATGTTCTGGTATTTATTTAAGCGTGTTGATGTGTAAATACATTTAGACACAATGACACATTTGGTGTTAATTACGAGACCACAATAGCAATCGATTTGAGTTTTTTTGTGCATTTGCTTCTTCCAGCTTCGAAGGCGTATGGCGCTATATCGAGACGTGTCTAAGCAACATGGTTCACCAGTCACCAACTTTCTTTTCGAAGCCCACTGTGCAACAAATGAACGATCTTTCGGCCAAAACTGTGTTGTTCCTGTTAATCTGGAACACCATTTTACAGAAACCACGCGGCAAAGTGTTTTGTATATATAGAGGTTGTCAATTTCAGAACAACAGTGTTATCTCACGCTCGATTGGTTGAAAATTCCTAATGGCAGATTTCCGATTCGTGTGGGCAGTTATCTGCTTATCCTGATGTTAAAACCGGCTCATTTGGGTTGCACGTACTGAGCCAACAAAACACCTTCGGTGGATTTTGAAACAGAATAGAGTTTTTTGTTGGAATCTTTGGTAACTCTAGTCCTTTGCGTACTGATCTTGTGATTCACAGTGAAACCTAGCTTTGCTGCGTTTCTGCGTACTCGGAAGACCTGTCCTCTCTTTATTAGGCCTATGTTTTTTATAATTGTGCAAGTGCTATCCCGTCCCAAGTGGTTAATTGTGAATTTTTGTTTTCTCTTGAACTCTCTTGATTTTCCAACGTCTCAAACTGTAGTGTTTCTTGTCACTTATCCTATCGTGGCTTATCATAATTTCCTGTGACCATCATGCCTGTTTTCCAACGTAGTATGACCATACATTTGCAGATTTCCCTCCTGTGTCTCGTCCAAAACTGATACGGAAAAATAGGACTTGTGTAAAGAGGGAATAATTTTTCATTAGGTGGGCTAAACTACTCTGTTTCAATCCAAAAAAGGCAAGTTAAACAGGCGCCAGATCCCAAGACGGCTCCTTAGCAGACTGGAATAAAACCAACCCAATAAAGTTTGGTGTATTTTTAAATAGCTCTTTGAACGAGCAAGAATTTTAATAAAACATTAGTTTGCAACAAATAGTCCAACGATTTAATACGTCAATTTTTCTTCATAAGTTGTGAAGCGATCTTTTAGCCGTATGGTAGATGTGAAAAAAAAATTTCGGTATGTGGCAAACTGGCGCGAGGCGAGTGTTGCGGGATGCGAGGCAAAAACACAGCAGAGCCGGTTGTGGTGAACATTTGACTGGGAAATGCAAGCTTTTTTGTTATGGTGAGCATTCTATACTCGACAATAACGATTGTCGTGCACGGGAGTTGAAGTCCATAAAACAGAGGTCAAAATTTCGATGAAGCTGGGGAGCGTTGAAAACGTGTTTATCTTTATCATGTGCTAAAACCTACCGACGTGACGGGCTTTCGACCAACAGTAATCGGTATCAACTCTCTGAGGTATTTGTTAATGAGAAATAATTCCCAGTGAAATTAACGGACTTTCACAATCATACCAGTTTAAAATGTGTAAGTTTGTGCCTTAACCCGAAAATAACAATTCACATCTCCAAAGATACTACATGTTTATCGCCTTGACATTACTATGAAATCTTTCTGGCCGTACAAAAAAAAAATTGTAATATGCATTTCCCATAACGGTTTTTAGAGTAGAAGAATCGTCCAGGAAAATGGTCAATATGCTTATTGGTACGCAACTCCCCAGCTCTGCACGATTTATAAATAATGCATATCATCGTATGCATCTTTAATTTTCTGGGACGTCCTTAACACATGGCGACAAAAAAATAAGTAGATGAAGTCGAGCGATCGAGATAAATCAAATAGATTTTCACACCCTGTAAATCACGTCCACCAGGTCGCTGAGCCGGGCTCCACAGCATCCCTTGCCCGATGATACGGACGGATAGGCACGGTGCGTCACAACGATGTGCCAAGAGGTGATCAGCGGGCGACGGCGCATGGGAAGATAGATCAAGCTCCCCCGGGCAGGTTTAGTAGGGGAAGACCAGGGGCTTGAAGTTGGCAGGACCTAGTGGGGCAAGGTTGTTCAACCCCCGGTGCTCGATTCCTCTAATCCAGCACGGGCTTGTCTGTGGGGTGGCTTTGCTGTGACACGTCACAAAATAATGGGAATTAGGGCGAAACTCAGGAAAGTAATGAAGTGTTAACAGAATTTGAAAACCAATCCAGATGTGTTTGTTTACTGAACATGTATTCTTTTCCCAAGGTGCGCTAATTTAGAGGTTAAACACTGGTTTCCATTATGGCCAGGCCAGGCAGGCATAACACCACAGGTTTAACACTACATAGGCTTATCAACATACGGCATACAAAAACGCGGATGCAATAACCATCTGGCTAATACTAAACAGACCGAGCTTCTGCATTTGGGGAAACACGCGCGAACCCCTCCGAAACAGTCTCCGGGAAATAAACATCTGGCTCTTCAACGATTACGGCAACCACCCGAGAAACTTTCGCGTCAACACGTACAAATCTTCCAAATCGGGTTATTGTGATATTCGGGACATAAGCCACTACCTTAGCCGGTAAAGCAATTATTATTAGTTATTTGTGGTAAGGGATTCCCTCTAAGGGTCCTGAGCACCTTAGCCCGGAAGCTTAAAGAGATCTGTACAGGGGAGACAATGAGAAGCAGTTACAGTTTTAAAGGTGGGAGGAAAATCCCTGAGGAATATTCTGGGTAAAACCCACGAAATCCGTAGGGACTGAAAATCCAATCCACATGTGGACCGAGCCTGGATTCGAACCCGAACCGCAGAGGTGGAAGGCGATGAAAGAACCACTACGCCAACCGGACTCCTCAATTGGTATGAGTGTATTTTTTTTACACCATGATGTGACGAACATATGTTTGTCCGTTTCCCCCTTTTGTACAGAGGCCGATTCGACAGAGGCCGATTTAACTTACATCGTGATTGGCTCAACAACTTTCACACTAACAGAGCGGGTCCAGAAATGCTTGGAGACGCTTGGACTCAGCAATAGCAACAGCACAAACCCTGGCGGCTATTTGCGCAAATGCCTTCGCAAACTCAGTACCACGACCCGTGGTAAGGACTTCTTTAGACCAGGAACTGTGTTTTGTACTCTCTAAAGGCAAACGAGTGAAACACTCATTCTCACAAAGAGCGGGTCCCTGATAAATCCACTCCAAAAGAGTGAAAACAGCTTTTAAATGGATGAAACCACTCCAAAGGTGTGAAAACCACTCTAAAAGAGGAGCCATATCAAGGAACATTGACTCTTTTTCGAGTTGTCCTTCATAATTATGGGTCCTTGGAGGACCTGAGAGTTCACTCCTTTGGAGGGGTTTCAATTTTGAGAGCGTTTTGTTTCTTTTGTTTTTATTTTTTATTTTCTTTTGGAATGCTTAGTGGTTTTCACGCTTTTGGAGTGGATTCATGAGGTCCTTGGGAGTGGTTTCACTTTTGCGTGTGTAGAGTTTGTTTCT